CGCCCCCGAGACGCCGGGCATTTACGGTCCACACAATCACTCGGCCTTTGATAAGGGCCCGGGCACTCCGCGGCCCAATCGCCCGACAGCCGCCCGGGGGCGGCCCCGGCGCCCGCAGGCAGGCAGGCAGGCAGGCAGGCAGGCAGGCAGGCAGCAGGACCACCACCAAAGACCGACCGACAGCGAGGGGGATGTCAGCCCCTTCGGCCTGGCGGTAGCTCGCTCGCTGGCTACATGCCTCCATGCGGCGCGACCTGCGAAGTGTGGGAAGCCGGGCAGTCCGCTCCACGAGACGGCCGATTCCCCCGGGCCCCGAAGCCACAAGCAAACCGCCGATCGGGCCGACGATTGCGGGGTATGCGAGGGGAGGGGCTCCGCGGCGCGGGACACCGGTGCCCCCAGCAAATCGCCCCCTTGTTCTTCCCTCCCCGGCGCCGGCCGTACAGCCCTATCTGCCGGCCCTGGCTTCCGGGGAAACGCACGATGCCGCAACACCCGAGCCCGGGAAAGCCGAGAAGGGCTCCCCCGGCCAAGGGGAATAGGCCTGCTGCGCCGGCCGACGCCTCGGGCGCGCCCCCATATGTGTGATTATCTGCCGCTGCCGGCAAGGGGGGGGGGTTCCGCCGCCCCTGCGTCCGGGCCGCCCGGGCGAATGTCCCTCCACCCCCCTCGGGGCACGGGGGAGCCGGCATGGACAGGAGCCCCGCGCACACACACACACCGACACACGCAGCCCCTTGCGACCGTGCGCTTGTTAGCACACAATCACCAGGCGTGCCGGGGCGGGGCAGAGCGGTGCGGTGGCACCCCTGCCGTCTCTGGCGGAAGCGATAAATGCCCCGCCCCGATGTGGGATCCCAACGCCGAGGGGGCTTAGCTCAGTGGTAGAGCACTCGACTCCAGATCGAGCGGTCAGTGGTTCGATCCCTCTAGTCCCCACTTCTTTTTTCCCGCCTGGGCTGGCCGTCGAGGCCCCGGCTCCACGCGCGTCGCCGACCACCGAGAGGAGAGGCGAGAACAGCAGAGCAACTGTGTGGGGAAAGTGCGGGTCTCGAGTTCCATTTTTTTTTCGCCCCCGAGCCCGGCACATAGTGCCCCAGAAGGGGGCGAGAGGCGGACAGGGCGACCCACCACCAGGAACGGGGGGGCAAGCGGGGGAAGGAGACCAGTCGACTGGACAGGACTGTGGGTGGTGGGGCACGGGCGCCGTGCACGGGTGGAACTGATGGGAGCGCATGTGCCCCGGCCGAAGGGACGGCCATGTTCGCGCGCGCGCGCGCGCACACACACACACACACACGCCTGCACACGGGCATGTGTGTGCAGTGCGGGTGCCGCACCTCCTCTCGCGGGCTCAGGCCGCCCCTAGTCGGCCTTGAAGAAGAGGTTGGTGTCGGTGCATCGGCGCTCCGGCTGGTCGAGCGGCAGCAAGTGCGGGTCGCTTTCATCGTCGAAGCCGTTGGCCGAACTGTCGGCCACATCCTCGAAGTCCTCGGTCAGGCCCTCGGCCTCATTGGCGGCCTTCTGCTCGGTGATCAGGTCAAACAGCGCCTCGTCCAAGTTCGGGCGGAAGCCCCGGGCCTTGGTCATGGCCAGCAGGGCACGGTCGGCATCCATGCGCAGGAGGTAGGCCTCGGACAGCTGCATCGCGGGAAGGGGGGGGGGGGGAGGGCAGGGGACATGGTGCGAACATTAGACAGGGAAGGAGGAGGCGGGAGGGCGAGAGGAGACCGGCCTCCGAGATGGCTATGTCCGGCCCGGGAGGGAGACAGTGCCCAGGCCGGCAGGCGAAAGCCGTCCGTACCCACACATAGATGTCGGCCATGTCCTCCGGGGTGAGATCGCGGTTGGTCAAGGCCCGCTTGAGAGCGTGCTTGATGATGCGGATGGCTGCCGAGCCGGGGCGGGAGGCGGGGGGGG